TTTTCTAGTTCCTTAGTTTCATAGTTTTTTTGAAAATCTCAACCGTACAAAGTAAACCCTTAGATTTCTGATTTTGTATATGAAACAAAAAATCTTGATTTATCTTTGTATGAATGCAATTTTCTCTGAAACTATGCAAGATACTGAAACGAAAATTTCACAGATTATTCTTGAAGGTAGTGCGAGTTTAAATATGGTCAGCAATTGTCAACAAAATATTTGGTTCATGCTTTATTTACAATTGAAATGTTAGTTTTCAATTTGGAACTTGAAAAAATTCCTCAAAAACTTTGTAGTTTTAAACTTTCAGCGGCATTAGAGAAATCAAAAGTGTTTTTATATGTCCCAAAAACTTGTTTTTCTGGGGTGGATGACCTTCTAATTGAATATTTCAACTTTTTCTAGTTCTTTAGTTTCATAGTTTTTTGTAAAATCTCAACCGGACAAAGTAAACCCTCAGATTTCTGATTTTGTATATGAAGCAAAATATCTTGATTTATCTTTGTATGAATGCGATTTTCTCTGAAACTATGCAAGATACTGAAACGAAAATTTCACAGATTATTCTTGAAGGTACGGCCAATTCACATATTGTCAGCAATTGTCAACAAAATATTTGGTTCATGTTTTATTTACATTTGAAATGTTAGTTTTTAATTTGCAGCTTGAAAAAATTCCTCAAAAACTTTTAATTTCAAACTTTCAGCGGCATTAGAGAACGCAAAAGTGTTTTTAAATGTCCCAAAAACTTGTTTTTCTGGTGTGGTTGACTTTCTAATTGATAATTTTGACTTTTTCTAGTTCCTTAGTTTCATAGTTTTTTGCAAAATCTCAACCGTACAAAGTAAACCCTCAGATTTCTGATTTTGTATATGAAGCAAAAAATCTTGATTTATCTTTGTATGAATGCGATTTTCTCTGAAACTATGCAAAATACTGAAACGAAAATTTCACAGATTATTCTTGAAGGTACGGCAAGTTCAAATATTGTCAGCAATTGTCAACAAAATATTTGTTCATGTTTTATTCACAATTGAAATGTTAGTTTTCAATTTGCAGCTTGAAAAAATTCCTCAAAAACTTTGTAATTTCAAACTTTCAGCGGCATTAGAGAACGCAAAAGTGTTTTGAAATGTCCCAAAAACTTGTTTTTCTGGTGTGGTTGACTTTCTAATTGATAATTTTGACTTTTTCTAGTTCCTTAGTTTCATAGTTTTTTGTAAAATCTCAACCGTACAAAGTAAACCCTCAGATTTCTGATTTTGTATATGAAGCAAAAAATCTTGATTTATCTTTGTATGAATGCAATTTTCTCTGAAACTATGCAAGATACTGAAACGAAAATTTCACAGATCATTGTTGAAGGTACAGCAAATAGCGCTTTCTTCGTGAGATAAAAATAGAACTCTTCGGTTTGCCGCAAAGCATCGCGGGATCGAAAGTCGGACAAACATCACGATTCAGGAACGGTGCTGTGCTGTGATCACAATAATTGAGATGGCAAAGAAAGGTGCAACGAAACATTGCTGCTGGGGAACCTGTACCTCTGATTCAAGGTACCCCGATCGAATGCCGGAAGGTACGAAATTCTTCCCGTTTCCCAAGCCAGGCAAGATTCGCCAGGACTCTACAGAATGGGAGAAAAGTCAAGCGAAGCTTAAAACGGAGAAGGCCCGAAGATGGCAATATTTATGTGGGAGGAAAGACTTTTCAAGACCAGAGCAAATAACGAAAGATACTTATATTTGTTCGTTGCATTTTGCAGAAAGTTCTGGACCAACAGATGAGCATCCTGAACCTCTCCTTGCCTGTCTGACGGATAAAGAAGCAGAGGCAAGAATGAAAAGAAAAAGAAAGCCTGCTAAGGATCGCTGTTCTGATGGCCTAAATGAAAAAATAAGAAAAAAATCTCACTTGGGGATAGCATTTGATGACAAGAATGATAATATTCGGGATGACGAAAAAGCTGCTGAATTACCAGGACCTTCAGGTGTGTTGAATGATGCTGTAAAAGAAAAAAATCAAGAAAAGGCAACACAAACAGTGTATGATAACTATATTCTAGGTGCCAAGATTGAAACCATGCTGATACGAAATCGTGTCAAAGTAGACAACGTTGACAAAGATAAATATGTACCCAAAAATTCAATGTTGCCAGAGTCAATACTCACTGACAAGAAGAAAGCAAAATTTTTCACAGGACTCTTTCCTCTGCAATTTGATGCTTTATACAATTTTCTTGGCCCAGCAAAATTTGAGCTCGTCTATTGGAAGGGCGACAAGAGTAAAACAAGTAAGGAGCCTTCTAAAAGCACAAGCAATGAAATGGGATGCAAAAAAGTGTTTACTCTGAGGGAAGAACTATTCATAACTCTGCTGAAATTAAGAAGAGGATTCACCCATCAAACAATAGCCTACATGTATGATGTCTCAGTGTCTTTGATTAGTAGTATCTTCATTACATGGATACAATTTATTTATTTACATTTCAAAGAAATTAAGAACCCAATGTTTCCAAGTAAAGAAGATCTGAAGCCATTTTTGCCAAAGGTTTTCAAGCCGTTTAGAAATGTGAGGTGTTCTATTGACTGCACAGAGTTTTTTTGTCAGACTCCAAGGGACTATGCACATCAAGGCAATGTTTATTCTTCATATAAACACCATGCTACATTTAAGGCTTTAATAGCAGTGACACCAAATGGGTCTGCATGCTTTATTTCTGACCTTTATGAGGGCAGTATTGATGATGTCTCAATAACAAGCCAATGTGGCATCCTAGACCACATAGAACCTGGAGATGTGCTGTTAGTTGACAAAGGTTTCACCATCCAGGAGCTTCTTTATGCAAAACAAGCAACGATAAAGATACCAGCATTTTTAGGCAAAAGGGACAAGCTGACAAAGGAGGAAGAGATGGCCACAAGAAGGATAGCCAAGGCACGAATTCACGTTGAACGATTTAATGAACGTTTAAAGAAATTTTTACTTGTTGGAAGGACAATTCCTCTGTCATTAATCCCTATAGCTTCACAATTAGTTTATGTAGCAAGCTGTCTTGTCAACTTTCAAGCACCCTTATGTAAATAAGTCTTTCCTTAGGATAGCTTTGCACATATTGAAATATTGATGTCTTCCTGTTTTTAAATGTGTACTAGGCATCCCCAATAATGTATGTATTCACTTGGGGCATACTGAAAATGAAGGATCCCTTATTCCCTTTTGTTAAAAATCCCTCAAGAGAAGAAGGGTCTAAATAGTCATTAAGTACTTAAAAAGTCATTAAGTACTGCTTTTGAAGCCATGGTTCAAACCCAAATTTTTCCATTTGAAATCCCTTATTCTCAGCTGAAAATAGGGTTAAAACTCTCCTGTTTTGGCTATGATAATTTTGAAGGTGAAAATTCTATGCCTCTAAAAATTTCTAATATTTATATTTATCGAAATGTGTGTATTTGAAATCTAAGCAGAAAGTTACAAGGTAGGGTAATTCAAAAGTACACATCAATGAGTTAGGGAATACAATACAGTTGTTCAATACAATGAACATAGCTTTAAAAATTTACAAGGCCATCCTTTAACAACAAAAAGCTAATTAATACTTAGTAATGAGTGGTGCAAGAGGGGGTTATGCAAACACATACAACAACTAGGGTGTTGATGGAAAATTAACAAAAGCAAACAAGGAAGAGTAGGGTTCAAAAGATGAATTTGGAGGGTATTTACATTCTTGCTGACATGATATTAACATAATATTAATTAAAGCATTAGTTAAGAGTTTACACAATAAATGGTGGGAGTCCTCTGGGTACCCGCATTTCAAAGTACTCTGGTATGAATACTTTGTGCCAGAATGCAGAAATGTTTCTTCTCAAACTATCTTGGAAAGCATGGTTTGGTGTGATCCTTTGAATTGAAGGAGGACCATTTGGTGTATGCAGCACAAAGTCACAAAATGAAAGTCCTGTGGTTAGCAACTGCAACTGAATCTGATAATAGTACACATGGCCCTCTTTCAACATTAATTTCTTTTCATGGACCCCAAAACACTGTCGACTTAAAACAGTACTTGAAACTTGTTTCTTCTCAATTTGTGTAAGAAGATCAGAAACAGAAATATTCTTCAAAATCTTCAAACATTTAATCTCAACAATTCCAATAGCACTACCAAAATTATTAAGAATGAGGCCATCAGGACTAGCACCAAGGAAGGGAACTTCAGTATTGATCCACATCCCTGTTTCCACAACATTACTTCCTGTGGCCATCATATATGCTCTTCTTGCTTGTGGTTCTTCCTCTACCCCATATTCCATATACATGGTTGAGATATGCTCTGAAAACCAGAGATTATTGGAGATCCATTTATGCATGGACCATGCATATTGATTCCCATTTCCAGCAAGAATTTGTTCTCCAAATATACATGGCAGCTTGCATTTGGAGGCTGTAATTCGAAGCAGCCTCTCACTGTGCCACCTCGGAGAGGTGCTTCGTCTTGATGTGCCCACAATCTCCATGGGCCCATTATGGACACCCTTGTTGTTTTCCATCAGGCATTCTTTGAGAATACGTACATATGTTGCCAACAAATCCCTTCTCTCATCTATTAAATCATAATCTTCATAATTTATTTTCAATGTCATTTGCCACATGGACTGGTTATTTTCTTTACAGCTTATTACCTGTAGATCCTTAACAAATTCATTTATGTCCTGATTGTTTGGCCTTCCTCTGAAATTTACAGGCCTAGGATCCCAGTTAATAATCCTGTTCTTGGATAATTTCTTCGATGAATAGTTCTCCTCATGAATGGCCTTTGGGTTTTTCTTTCTCTTTTTGCCCGTGTTCCACACACATGGCTTTGAAGTGGAAGGAGAAATCACAGTGTAGCCATTATTCTTTGCAAAGTCAATGATTTTTAAAAGAAGAGCAGAAATATGGGCACATCTTGCAAGTGCTGAGGCTTTACAATTGCATTTAGCAAGCTGAACTGACCCACTGATGCTTGACAGGCCAATAACAACATTTAATGGCACATCATTCTTCATTGAGTGGTGCACATGGGCACGTACAAAGTAGGAATCCTCGATTTTGTTGTCTTGAATGTCACTTATGAAATCACTTTTCATCAAATTCATACCTTTTCTAAGCGGTTTTGCAGTTGCTGTATAACCAGTATTGCTTTCGTCGTTGCTGTCTTCGTCATTGTTTCCTGTGGCAAACTGTGAGATGGACTCGACTAGGTAATGGTAAACGTGGCCATAGTTAAACATACTCGGTATGTCACACGAAGGAAAGCTTTTCCAATCTTCACCAGGAATTTTCCAAACTGCAGGGGCATCTTCGACTTGTAAGCTTGATCTTTTTATATCGTACCATTTTCCACCATCAACCTTAGGGTCTATTCCCTGCCTTGTCTCAATAGCACCCCTCACTCTGTCTATCAAATCTTGTTTCTTTCCCGTCCGCTTTACACCATGACATTCGAGCCATCGTTTCAACTCTACCACAGAATACTCAGCTGGATCTTTAGAAAAGCATGCAAGGAACATCTTCTTCGACAAAATACATCTTTCATAGCCAATGTAACCCGAAAGGATCAATGCTTGCAAGTTTCGCCATCGAGTATTCACTGAAACATATAGGCCGAAGGTACGATTGGCGTGTTGTTTGTCCGATCTTCGATCCCATCACGCATTGCGTCAAAAGACGTGACGTCAATCGAATAAAGCGCTATTGCAAAGAAGATAGTCCGGAAGTTACAATCAAACAAACCGGGTCAATGGCTATGTTATACAGACATGTAAGAAATGTAAAAATGAATTTACGTGGAGAAGTCAGCCACTTGTTCGTGGAAGTATCCCTGCTGATAATTTAATGATGATTTTAAATTCAGGTGTTAACATCAGCCAAGTGTTCTTGATGTTCAAGACATGGGGTTGGCAGCAATAACATCCGCACTTTCTTCAGGCATCAAAGGCAGTTTCTTATTCCATCTGTTTTACTGCAATAGAAAGACATCGAGATTTCGTTGATCGAAAAATAAAGAGCATTAAGGATATGCACAGTGGTCGGGAGATTAGCTGGAGATTAATTGAACAACTCGCATCGGACGACTCACGAGTGCACCATTAACAGGAGTTTGTTACTGCAAATATACAAAATGTCTTTTAACACACTATTCACTTTGAAGCTCTAGTTTAAAAGGTAGATAAATCTTTATAATGCAAAAATAATTTGTTGGCAGGGAATATAAGTATTTTGGACAACTGTAGCGTCCTCATTGCAAGTGACAGAACATGCTTATTATAAGATTTTATATTTATAAATAACATGATATAATCTGCCCAGAGTCAATATTTTGTGCAAAAAAAGAGCACCTCTCGTCTTCAAAAATATTGATAATAACCACAATATGACTAGCTCATCTTAGTCGTATAGTTATATGATAAATTATTCTCGAGAGTTCTATTTCAATTATATATTCTATATCAAAAAGCATATCTCATTGAATCCCCATGGGAGTGTAGTAGTCTTAGTACTACTACCATTGAAAGTAAGCTCGTCTTCTATATCGCTTGTTATTTGATATAGAATCATTGAGATGGTCAGTTAAGACATGGTACACACAGAGAATATGGCGTAGTTTTTGGCATCTTAGAAGATAATATAAGATAGACATATGTAATTGTTTCCTTACTTTACTCTGCTTCGTGATTCCTAGAAACAAACATTGCATATTTTAAATGGTTAGATAAGAACGAAGAGAGTCTACATACGCTGTAAGTTAATAAATCTGTCTAGAATAGCGCAGCTTATTTATTAAAACCTTGCTTGAATGACAGCTCGAATGTTTATTTCCAAATAGCTCGGATTTTATGTTTATATTATTTTTATAACTATACATCATTTATTTACGAAGTATAGTTATTTCTTAAACACTCGCACGAGAGGTTATTTGCCACTTCTTGACACCTCTAAAGGGTTACAAAACTACATCGGATGAGCCATTTTTAAATACATTCTTATCAGATATGAAGGTTGGGAGAGCCATTGTTATTTTTATCTCTATGTCATCGCATAATTATCTTTTGTTGTTAGGATATATCGTTAGATATTTTTGTTATTAAAACAGTATATATAAGCTATGTCACTGAGATAGAGTTCTTAAAGTGTAGTATTCGAAAAGTAAAATAGTATGTAAGTCAGAACTATATAAAGGTAAAATATCACGCTCTTTTTGTGCAATCGTAACGTCCTCTTGAGTTGCTATGGATTTGGGATAATAGTTATTGATGCGTGCCCTAATAATATAAACTCTAGTAATGCCATGCTATTTTAACTTATCTAAGGGTGATTGGCTGATTGGCCGATAGATCCAAAATGGAGTATATTATATTTTTATAAAGTGAGATACAAACTACTAAGATATCAATCGTTGCATCCTGTCAAACTCTAGAGTCGACAAATCAAAATATCGGTCAATATTTTATGAAAAATATCCCCTTTCTTCTCTAAATCAAATTAGTTTTTTTTACCTAGAATTTCATAGACTACAAATTGTTGGCATTTTGACTAATCGATACATTATCAATCATATTTAAGTACCACAATGTCTGTCCTCTCCTTTCTCTATCTCTCGTTATTTCCAGTAAAGGTACTTTTGAATAGCTGATCTCAACCACATTTCTCTCAATAAATTCTTCTCCATAAACCCAATCAACATTTCTGAAATGTTAATAATAGGTATGCACCAAGTTTGGCAAAGAGACGACTGGTTTCCATTTATGGCAAGAGAAGCAGCAGGGGTATGTATCTACAGACTTATTCATCTATTATGACTTATACTTCTATAAAAAGTGACTATTGATGCGCCGATACAAGAATTTATTCTGGTATATCAGGCACTAGCAAATAATTTGCATCTTAACGATCCAAGTAAGATCTAAAAAAAATTATTAGTGATTATTTATTCGTTCCGTTGTCTATATCATGTGTTTTAGTCTATTATATTCGGGTACGAATGAGTCAATTTCGGCACAAGGTAAATTAAATATATATATATATTTCTATTATTCGGCGTCCATATGATGGCTGGTGGCAGCGTAAATATATATTTTGGCGGGGTTGGGATCAAATGTCAGTGTTTTCCCATTTCATACAAAATACGGGCCATTAACTAAAATAACTTCAATCAGTGGTCGTCCACAGGCATTGCAAGTGGATCAGAACATCGCAGCCCTGAATACAATATCATTATTCACGATCTGTGGCAAGTATTCAAAAGTTCACAACGCTTTGAAGGCCAGCAATGGAGAGGGCAATGAAACCTAATTGGTGAGCTAATCTGGCAAAATGGAAGTCGTTTGCACGTCACGTTTCACTCAGCAGAACTCAGATCATCCAGATATCCGCTTTTCAATGAATGTGCAATGCCAAAATTGAAACCAGTGATGGATAACAAAGGTAAAAAGTGGTCTTCAATAGGCATCAATTTGTAGGTTAAGACTTATTATAGTTACCAATGCATATAAACAGGTACGTGTGCAGTAAGCATCTTCAAAAGGAGGACTTTACTAAGCCCTGAAAGGATACACTACTGTGTACCAAAGCCAAAACTGAAAAGGGGAGAATACCGGCTTGCTTTATAGTGGGGGAGAGTAGCGAAGAAGTAATAGATGAGGGAGACAGCGACATTTAAGAGGCACTGAAGAAAAGCCCTAAGAAGAATTAGCTGCTAAGTGGTGAATCATTGCTGGACGAAACTGATGTGAAAATTTTCTAGCTCAAGCAGATCAGCCACACGAAGAGCAGGGAGTGGAGTCTCTCACAAAACAGCTTGATGAAGCATCCTAAGAAATGAAGAGAGCTTGAAAAGAGAGTCACATTTTGAAGACGTTCAGAAGACGTAACATAAAGATACACAACTTGTGAAAGGAGCCTTTCTGAGATGAGACAAGCTAAATAAATGTATTTAGACCTTTGAAGTACTTGACTGTTGTGAAGTAGTTAAGATCATGACAAAAATTAGTTCTTGATCTTTCTAATGAAACTGAAGCTTGATGTGCCACTTTTTGACTATGCAAAGAGGTTGAGTTTAGTCGCACAACAATCACACATGTGTTCCTTACATATTTGTAATCAGTGCATGAAGTTTTGTTCCAGGGACTGATGAAGAGAATGCCTTTACTGGCAAAAAACAAGGAAGTATGCCTGAATCTTTTGGAGAATTCACAAATTGCAGAGTTATCAATTGACTGCATGAATTTAGAAATCACCACACCAAGGCAAGACTTAATGCTGCATATGCTAATAAGCAATTACAAGCACACAACCTCACTGGAAAATCTTAATTGGTTAAGCACAAATTAGTACAATCACATCTGTTAGTTAATGAGTTCCGGGGAAATCCCAGTGATAAAGCTTCTAACGGAACACTGTGAGGTCCCTATAATCAACCTCAAAGTAATAATAACTATTAATAATG